GTACATCTGCACGGTCTTAACTCGTGCTCAGTCTTATTTTTGATCTGTGAAACCTAGTCCTTTAGTGATATCCTTTTCTAACGGTCTAAAACTTCTTCTTCCCACGTAAGTCAATCCCCAAGTGAACCTAATGACCTTCATCAGTCCTCTGACCAGTGAGGTCCTTCTCGAATTTGAACTTCTTCTTCCGACGCTCTCAATCATGGAGTGCGAAAATCTCTTCCGAATGGTTCTATTGCATGACTTCATCTTCAAGAAAAGCCTCGACTCTCCGAATTTCCAACGCAGCCACAGATCATCGCTGGGTTAGCCGCTACGCAAGGTAATCATTTTGCTTGTTTATGTTTACATTTTTTTCTGTTCCTCTTCTTTTTTTTGGAGATAGCATTAACTTGTTTGTGTGAAATGACTGCTTATATTAGGCTACCTAATGGTATCACTGAGACAAGCAGTATGCAAATAAAAGGGCTGCAAGAGATGATGTGCGAATCGCAATCGGAATGTACCTCATGGATTCGACTTTTCAGAGCCGTAAGTAGACAGATTGACTTCTTTTTCAATCTTTCCTTAGAATGGTCCCATTTTAAAGTCTTTGGAGTCGATACCCTTCTACTGTTGCCCTATCATAGTTCATTATGATTCCTTCACGACCTTATCTGCAATTATTAGTTTTTGAGCGATCTATCGAAGTTGTTTGGCTTATATAGACTTTATTCACTTTGAACCTTTTGTTTAATAAAAGATAAACTCTAAGGGGCGTTAAGCAATCCCGTTTAAGGACGCGCCCCGCATTCGAACCCAATCCAGAATCGTAGTGGCGTATTGAATGCGTATGTGGCCTATACAATGACGTGCAGGGGCAGCCAATGTTCATGTCAGGGCTTTTATCCTCCTAGACGAGTCTGGTACTAATTAACCGACCCAAGAGGGATGGAAGGCTTGGCTGGTCTAGGCGGATATCGGGCCGGGATTCGAACTCGTGACTATGCCCAACTCGGTGCTCCTTTCTTCCTAAGGCTTAGTGAAGAACTTGCGCGTCCTTGGTACGAGGGTTGCCTTTTATATTTTGAGATTTGGCAACATTGGTGTAGCAATCTAGCAACTGACACAACTATCTTGAAGTTTGACTATTTTGAGGTTCCGTTGCGAAATTTGAGCACGATTTATATTGTTTACACTAAGTTATAAGATTTTGTTTAGGCCATGTTATGGGGTTGAACCGTGAGCATTTTCGCGCGATTATTTTTTATAAC